TGGGAATGCTAGAGAAATTAGAAAAACATGTCCCCCAAAATGGATAAGAATACCAGTCTCTGCCAGAGGTTGAGTGCCATTAAAGATAAGAAATTAAAGAAGTTTATGGACTCCGACAAGTCTGAGCTTCCCTTGCATTCAGCCTTTTCCTAATTTGCAGGAATCACTAATTTGTAGAAGCACTTGGCTCTACAGGAATGTTTGTGTGTGTCATTAGTGCAGCCTGAGAAATCGTGGTGACTTTGTGAAACTTGCTTCTCGAGAAAATTCAGATCAAATCTAAGGAAGGTTTTCATTCTTTGTCCAGTGTATCGTGACCATTTAAATTTCAAATTGCGATAGAGAAATGATTAAAATGTTTAAAGAATTTTCTATGCAGGTGCCAATAATCAGATGCATTTTTGCTGTGAAAGGACAGAGGTTACCTAAGTGTGCAAAAAGAGGAAAGAAGAGGACTACTGGGAACCCTGAGTCTGAAAACAGTGGAGATTAGATGGAAGTTTCACAGTGTCCTCAAAATCTGAAAATATTCATATCTTTTGACCCAGTGTTTCCACTTCTAGTAATACTTGGACACATTAGCAAAGATATGGGTGCAAGAATATTCACTGAAGTGTCATTTTCAATAGCAAAAAAAAAACAATCCTACCCAAATGCTCATCAATAGGGGCGTATCCATCATCCTATAGACTGCTAGGCAGCATTGTGAGGTAGAATAATGGGTACTAACAGGGAAAAATGACTAAAATTGATTAAGTGAAAAAAAAAGCCATTTGCAAAACAATGTGTTTAATGTAAGATTGTTTTTGCAAAAATATTAATGATAATCAAAATGGAAGAATAAGGAAGTAAGGTTAGTATACAGAGAAAAAAAACAGTTGGCAGTGTGTGTGCTACACTATCGCTTATTCTTATCATTGAGGTGTGAGATTACAGAGAACATGCATTTTCAGTGATATGGTTATTTATTTAACAGGTATTTATTAGAAGTCTGCTGCATACAAGTAACTATTCTAGGTGCTGAGGATACATCTAGAACTTACCTTCTAGTTAGAGGAGATAGGAAATAAGCAAATAAATAGATTAATATTTGAATTTTGGATAAGCAAAGTCTATTAAAGTCTATTACTATTAATAGTAAGAATACATTTTTTAAGATAAAAAAAATAGGAGAACATTACCAAAGAAGGAGGGAGGCAGATCCTGTGAAGGTCGGTAGCCTTTCTGCTCATGGAGGTAAAAGGCTGGTAACCAAAATAAAGCTATGGAATACAGATTTCCCCCACTATCCAAAAGTAGAGCATTCCTATGAAAACTTTTGTAAGCCAAAATGGCGTAAAGTGAAGAAGCAATTACTATTCATTTATATGGTAAAAATTTTTGAGCATTTCTCAGATGCAAAAAATACCCTACCAAATGACACATGAAACCTAAAATAACACGAACATGTAGTAAAAGCAGGAATGGTATGATAAATACACAGCCTATATAAACTAGAATAATGTACGCACAGTGTGGTTTCACTTACCAGAATTGGGAAGACAGCGAGCACCCTAGAAGGCTGCGAGGTGTTGATGGTGATGGTGGTGTGTTAGGCTGAGTCGTTGGAGGTTGGGGTGGTGGGAAGTAGAGCAGACTGGGTGTAAGAGAGAGAGGAAGAGGGTCATCTATTAACATATCATTGTCCTCTGAATCCGTCAGGGCAGGCAGGTCACCAACATCTATACCTTCTATGTCTGTCTGCCTTAGTGTCAAAGGTCAGGGTTCGCCGTCTGCTGTGGCTGATGTGGAAGGCTTGAAATAGGACAGTATGCTTGACAGCTTAGCCTCTATAAGGGCTTGCTGCAAAACAAATGCTGAATGCAATTTTTGCTTTTCGCCTTTTTTCACAAAAGCGAAATCCTCTTTGGATTCTTTTTGGTTAGCAAAAACATGTACTAATGTAGGTCTTTCATATAAGTGAAGTGGTGTAAAGTGAACTTTTAGAGAACAGGGGCAACCTGTAGGCCGAATTTTAGGTCCATCAGTTCTAACTGTGCCCCAAGACGTGAGCCATGATTTAGGGGCTTAGTCAGATGGATGTCCTCTAGGCAAGTGGTTGTTTTCGGTTAACCATTTGTGTATGGGAGGAAACCGAATACAATAGCTGATTCTTGTACTTTTCACAGACACGTATTTAATCAAAAATGTAGATTTTTCTCCTGTTTCCTTTATTATCTTAACCTTACTACTAGGAAAAAAGTATATTAGTCTTTGTTCTTTTTAGATTTAGAAAATTATGAATTCTCGAATAGAACAGGTTAATTCCTTTTTTATAAAATCATTGGTAAGATGGGACTAAAGGTCAGATGGCATTTTTTATTTTTCATGAATAATTATTGTTTTATTACAAATTGTAAATTTCAGACTGTTCAGGATTATCTGCTTGTAGTGTAAACTAGGAGAATTTAGTAACATGTTGGAAAACAACTATTTTTTCAAGAACATATTAATCAGGCTTTCTTTTTGTGTTTGAGCACAATCTTTAAGCATACTGCAATTTTAAGTCTTTAACATTAAATTGAAATTGGTAGAGAAACAACTGAATCTCTTAACTTTTTATATTAAAAATATTATTTCAAACCTTTATAGTGTTCATTTATTAGTTCAATGCAGTTCGACAAGTTTCTACTGACTGCCAGACACTAGATGTTTTAGATACATCTATGAATATGGTATAGACTCTGAACTCAAGAACTCTTAGTCTAAACAGGAAGACAGGTAAACAGGAAAAGGATATAAACTGTTGGAGGGCTTATTTATAAGTGTGTATGGAGTAATTTAGTATTTCTTACCACTGGTCAATACTGCCTTTGCTTTTCTAACCTGATTCCACCAAAGCAGAATTAAACATTCAATCATCTCTTCTATATCTGAGTGTAGTTGGATATGGTCCCTTATAGGAACAGGGAGTATCTTTAGGCTAAATTGCTGTAAATTTAGCACCCCTTTCCCTGCAAGTTCCTTCTAAGCTGCGTCAGTGATTAAGGAATGATTGATCTAGCCAATTATGTGTGCCACAAAGTTCTCATTTTTCCAGTTTTGCTTTTTTTCAGAACCAGACCGCGATAACAAGCAATTCTTTCTTGTTAGGGCAATACAAGTAAGAAATAAAAGACCTTTTTAAAATAAAAAGTAGATCATCAAATGTGTGTGTATATGTGATTTTGAATGGATGAGGAAGAGTTGATCTGCCATGTGCCACCTTCCAAGGATATTTGAACAGTTGAACAGTTTCCATTCTGTTTTTGTGTATACACGCACACACATCTATGACTGTCCAAGTGTATGTACATGGTATTGAAATATATGTACATATATATCCCCTCTTATAATTCATATCTTTAGTATATATATTTAGAAACTGATTTAGCCCGTTCAGGCTGCTGTAACAGAATGCCACAGACTGGGTAGCTTATTAACAGCAAGCATTTATTTTTGACAGTTCTGGGGGCTAGAAGTCGAGGGTCATGGCACCAGCATGGTTGGGCGAGCGCCCTCTTCCTGGTTCATAGCCAGAGCCTTCTGTGTCCTCACATGGTGGAGGGGGCTAGGGATCTCTCTGGAGCCTCTTTCGTACGGCACTAATCTCATTTATGAAGACATCACCCTCACGTCTTAAGCACGTCTCAAAGGCCCCACCTCCTAATGCCATCAGCTTCGGGGGTTAGGATTTCAACATATGAATTTTGGGGAGAAACAACCATTCAGACCATACCATACCAGAAATCATCAGTTATACTTCCCATATCAAAGCTTAAAACAAAAATCTAAAGATGTATTAAAAAAAAAAAAAAAAAAAACCCAGGAGCTGTAGTTCTTTTCTTGCCAGGTAAGAAAGAACCCAAGTCACTAAAGAAATTAGTTCAGTGGGTCTCCCTAAACTGAAAGCAGAAGTGCTAGTAATAGAAGGAAATGGGAGAGTTGTTCCATGTTAGGAGATTATTCCAGGAGATATTCTACTTTATTAAATTCTAGTTGGTTAAGAAGATGATTAAGTTTCCCATGGGATTGGTCATGTTCTATTTTGGTTCCCAAAAGTACAGACATAATTTTAAAAAAGTCAGGGAAAACATTATGCACAAGTTTAGGACTTGGCTTTTCTTTTTTCTTTAACCTTCAAAAGAGAAATACACAATGATAAATACAAAGGCTTTTGCAGTTGGTGAAGTACAGTAGCCCAGTCATCCTATTAGATGTGTACTGTGAACATGCCTGGTCTACAGCTGAGGAAATGGCAGCTCAGACTGGTTGAGTAACTTCACTAACTGCACAATCATTCATTGAGAAACTATTCCTTGGACTTAACCGTTCTCCACATGGGCCTCAAAATGGACTTGCCAGTTCTCATATCTTTGCTTTCCCTGACAGCAGAAACAAAATATTTTATTGCTTATTTAGTAAATAGAGAATTCCTGAATGACCGGTATGGGGTTGGATACAAAGTTCTGGCACACACCGTTTCTGGTCTCTAAAACCTGGATTTACATAACTGCTATCAGAACCAACCAGGTCACGTGGGTTCACGTTCCAGGCTTTTACTGTGTCTTGCTGCTTCTGCTATGTCTTACTGCCTTTTCTACATTCAGATACTCCTTGAAATTACAGATGAAAAAAATTAACAACTCACGAAGTTTTAAAAAGTTCAAGATTGCCTTTTTACAGCGTCAGAAGTTTCAATGACAGGATTCACGTACAAAAAACAAGCACATCTAGTCCCTCTAATATAATTTGCTTTAGAGAGTTAAGTTTCAGTTCATAGATTAATTTTTACAGCCAATATAAAATGTAATCTTTCCCTGCACAGCTTGCCTAATTACATCAATTCTCAGATCTCCAGTATTACAAAAGGCTACAGTCTTCTTCTTAAAACACCAAAATAAAACGATCAGACGATAAAGCACACAAAATGCTGACTGTCATGTTGGTGTCTCTGTCTTTTCTCTGCGCGCATGCTCCAGGTGGGAGAGTTCAGAGCTCATGCTGCCGAGTGGACAGCCAACGTCACAGCTGAATTCAAGGAAACCAGGAGGCGGCTGAGTGTGGAGATTTATGACAAGTTCCAGCGCGCCACCTCCATCAAGCGGAAGCTCTCGGCAGAACTGGCTGGGAACCACAACCAGGAGCTGACTCCTTGTAGGAGGACCCTGTCAGTGAACCACCTAGCCAGCGAGAGGGATGTCTTGCCTCCCTTACTGAAAACTGAAAGTATCTATTTGAACGGATTGACGCCACACTGTGCAGGCGAGGAAATTGCTGTTATTGAGAACATTAAATAGCTCTCTCTTTGAAGAGCCTTAGGCATAGCCATAGGTGAGGACTTCTCTATGCTTTTTATGACTGTTGCTGGTAGCATTTTTAAAATTGTGCATGAGCTCCAAAGGGGAAAAAAATAGATACACCCATCATGGTCATCTATCATTAAGAGAATTTGGAATTCTGAGCCAGCACTATATTTTTGATGATGCTTGTTGAACGGTCCACTTTCTTTGACGAGTGGAATAAAACAAGCCGTGTCTGATGCCTTTTTGTGCCCAGACTGTTTTCCTCCCTTTTTTCCTAATGTGCCATAAGGCCTCAGAATGAATTATAATTGTTTCTGGTAATAATGTAGCTTCGAGGGATCAGTCCTTAACTTTTCAGGGTCTACCTAACTGAGCCTAGATATGGACCATTTATGGATGACAACATTTCTTTTTGTAAATGGCGAGAAATTCTTATGCAGCCTTTTACCTAAGAAATTTTCTGTCAGTGCCTTATCTTATGAAGAAACAGAACCTCTCTAGCTAATGTTTGGTTTCTCCTTCCCCACCCCACCCCACCCCTAGGCTCACCTCTGCAGTCCTTTACCTCACAACTCCCGTTTGAATACTTGCTGGAAACAGTGTATAAAATGACTGAAATGATGATGCCCGAAGAATTAGATGGACATTGAAGCAACACTCAGAAACCCTAGCGTTAAAGGCACTGCAGAGAAATGAGGTGCAAAGATGGCCCCTCTGAGTATTTATTTGACTCAGGTACCAATGGTACATATATACAGTGTAATTATTACCAGGGTGGTAAAATTGGCTGCTCCCAAACAGTCCCTTTATTCCTGGCAGTATTTGGAATATATCTTTTATTAATAATGATACATTTTTTAAAAGTGGAAGAAGAAAATCCACATATATATATATATATGAATGATCTGACAGAAGAAAACTGTTAAAAATGGATATTTATTGGAGGTGATTTAAGACAATTGGTGTGAATTACTATTCTGATGAAGAGAAGATAGCAAAACAATGTGTTACGAACATTTGCTAATAAACATTATACTGCCAGCATCTATTTGCTTTTTGATGTATGAAAGGCTTATATGATTTTTTTCCTTGGGTGACTTTTGCCAGACAAGGGGAGGTGATGTGGCAGAGCTGGGCACAGCCCTAGCCTTCCGTGGGTGTGCCTCTGGAGTTGTGGCTGAACGTGAGAGCAGCAGTTGAAACTGGGATCACTGTGATTTTGCACATGGAAAAATGCAGATTGCAGGCATAATTCATCTCTGACATTAGAGAAAAAGGTGTAACAGCACAATTTACATCTTGAGAGCTTTTTTTTTTTTTAGATAGAAAAGGCTGATAATCCTTTTTAGTTTAATTTTATATCCTGTAACTCTTTGGATGTTTCCAAGATTCAGAACAAATTCAGTAAAGGCACCTAGTGGATTGCTACTCTTTCTTTTATTTTCATACTTAGATCTGCTGTACAATGTATATGTAATTTTTTAAATGCAGACAGAAAATGATTTCCCTAAATATAATTGCAAAACATTTCTTTTATTCTTCGAGGGGGGGAGGTGTCTGAATAAGGGACATTCAGATTAGGGTCTTAAAAAATAAACCCAGGATCTTAATAAAAAAACAACTTAATAGATGCTTATTTTCCAAAATTTAAATTTAAGCTAGAAATGTAAATATTCAGTTAACTTGTTGAAGGTACTTTTATAAACTTACAAAATTCTAACCAAAATTTTAGAAAGTCAGGCTCTTTTAGAAGGAAAGCTAAACCCATTTCCTCAGTAACTGTTCTGAAAGTTCGTATGGTGGAATGCACCATGTATAAACTGTGAATTGTATTGACAAATAAAGTTTGTAATTAAAGTCAGCATTTTCTGAGTCTCCTGCTTGCTGCTGAGAACTTAGGTCTGATTGTGGCTAAGTAGGACTCCAGGATGTCACTTTTCATACTGAGTTTTTTGTGGCTCCTTCATTCACAATATTCAAGAAAAATATTTTTGATGCAGTATTACTAGCCTTGTTAAATACATGCAGAATGTTCTTCTTGGTGGCTGTTAATCAAAAGTAAATATCCTGAAATTCCACTTTTGAAATATGATATTTTAAATAGCATATAAATTCAAGATTGTTTATGTTAATTGTGATATATCAATATCTTATCATTGTTAGACCTTGTCTTGACATTGAAATAATCTGAATGCTGAAAATAGGCACCTGAAGATTCTTGTAAAAAAAACAAACATCCTGGCAGTGTTGAAGCCTAAAGAAGGTAGTTGGCAACTAATCTTCTAGACCTCATAACACAAATATTTGGACTACAGCCCTTCTCAGTATGTCACATAAATTTATTTATTCATTCCCAAGCACCGTGATGCTCGCCTCGGTAAATGTCCTAAAAGTGGTCCCCAACATTATCCTTAGAATTGGGGAAAAGCTAAGAAAGCATGCATATTTTATCAATTTTGTTTTCTCAAGCTTTATTTTGTTTACTTGATTGATAAGATTTTAAAATAGTCTAGAATTTTCTAGTGAGTTTATTTTTTCTCTGGACCAGTTTAAGAATGAGTAGTTTTGCCCTGAAGGATATTTGAAAAAAAAATTAAGTGCTAGAACCAGCAAGGATCCGAAACTCTCTGATCTGAAATCTTAGATGTGGATTCTCTGTATTCACCTTACAACTATTAAATGTAGAAGTGATTATTTTGGAGTTCTTTCAATTTCCTGCATAAATCTCTATACTTTGCTACACAGTTCATGTCACACACCCTTTTCTTTTTCAATAATATTTCACTCTTGCAATGCAGGAAAAAGTGAAACTTCTAAAGACAAGGGAAAATTGAATAATTTGTGTCTTGGCCTTCAAAAAATGAGGGGGCAGTGTGTAGGGCTTTGTCTCTTTCTCTACTCCTAAGGAACATGTGACATATAAGACCGAATCCCACATCACTTGGTGTAAAAAATTCTGTAGAATTCTTTGATTCTTAAGGCTAGAAGTTCAAACAGACTAAGGGAAGTTTTAGATGGAATACAAAACAAAACCAAATTTAGACATTCCGAAGACTTGAAATAGCTGTTTATGTCTAAGAACTGGAGGCCTAGATCAACTTTTATTTTTGTTTTCCTTTTTTTAAAATAAATGTTTGCTGTTCTAGTAAAATCATAACTTATTTGTGGTTTGCATTCCTTATTAAAATGTGAGTATAAATTTGCTTTTGTAAAAAGTAAAGATGTCTCTATTTGAATACTCATAAATCCATTAAAATTAATATATGATTTTTGCTTCAGCATGAGTTTACTTAAATGTCCTTTTATAGTGAAACTTACTGGTCTTGCACATGCTCATGTGTTGGTTCCAAGATGGCCTGGAGTAACGTGGTTACTTTTGATAGGAACTTTTGAGAGTAACTTATTGTGGTTATCTTCATAAGGGGAAAGCTTCATAAGCTCCATGTACTTCCTTCATCCCACCCTACCTCAAAGGTTTATACAGCTTTTGTTTCACAGGTGATACTTGCCCACCCAGATCTCAACTACCCCTTCCTAAAAGACAGGGATTAGTTCCAATGACCAGGAGTTTTGACTTTTGTTTGACTCAATACCATTTGTTCACCAAGCCCAAGCTTTTACTATTTTTAATATCCATAAAACCGTCTGTTATTTTCCTAGTATATGTTCACTGTGTTATGCTTGTTTCAATTTACAACTATTTTTTTTATCTGTCCTTCCTTTCCAAAGTGTTTCTGTACATTCACCAAAAACTCACTGCCTAGTCTTCATTCTTTTTCTTTTGCACTCTTAGACTTGGGTTTCTCTCTGAGCTCCATATCCATCTAACTCCCTTTGAATATCTCCACTTCTCAAAGGCACCTCAACATATCTAAGACCCTCATAATCTTTCCCCAGACCTGGCCCTCTTTGGGTGTCCCCTATTTCAGCAAATGGCACCACCATCCATCTGGTTGGGCAAGTCATCTTTGATGTCATCTTCTCTCCTTCACCTCCATACCCACCTATCACCAAGCTATATTGACTTGCATCCTGAATGTGTCTTGGATTTGTACACAGCCATTTCCTTAATCCAAGCCACCACCACATCTCCACTTCTACTAACTGCTTTTGTATCATTCTCTGCTCCTGTCATTGATGGAACAGTGGGATTTTTAATATGCAAATCCGATTGTGTTACTCTCCAGTTTAAATCCACTAATTGTTCTTCATTTTTTTAGAAATGAGACCAGAATCCTTCAAATGGCTCACAAGGCCTTCTTTTGGTCTACCTTATGCCATCCTCTCTAGACTCATCTCGAATCACTCTCTACCTCTCTGTATTCCAGCCCCACTGGATTTCTCTCTTTTATCACAAGGTTTTGCCAATGTTGTTCTTTGCCTGGAATCCTTGCTCTCCTTTTTCTCCTCAACTTTTTTCATCTAACAAATTTCTACTCATTCTTTATAACCAGCTTAAGTATCACTTTCTCTGATAAGCCTTCCCTGACACCAATTCAGGTACCTTTATGATATACTCTATAAAACCCATTACTTCCCCTGTTTATGATTAGATATTCATCACTATTCTTCTTTGATTATTACCAGTATTTTCCACTAGGATGTAATTCATTTATTTTATCTTATTAAAGTACTTACTAAAGTACTAGATACTAGCAAAGTATGTATAGTAGGTGCTTAAAAAAATACATGATGAATAAATGAAGATAAAAACAGAGATTTAACTGTTGTAACCATCTAAAGTATCCTTGTATGTAAGTATCCCAAATTTTCTCAGCTCCACAAACATTTATCTGTCCTCTTCTACTGGCTTAGTAGTAAATGGGATACAAATAGCAGTTATTTCTCGTATTAAATGACAAGGTAGTACTGGTTACTCATTGTGTATAAAAAAAATCAAAACCAGTTCTTCAACTGGGGAGACTTGCAGTTTATTTGTCATTATACATTCCTACAAGCAAGGGTTTAAGTATTTTCATTTTCAAATTTTGGCTCACAGTAGATACTATCAAAGCTTGTCAATTATAATTTAATCCTGAAAATTTATTTAGGAATTAATTGTAAAACATATTTACTAACACTAATAAATGGATGTATCAGTAGAAAGCTAAATGCACATTTATTATCCTTACCAAATAAAATTCAGCTTTTTCTTGTTTAAACAAATTTATAAGCAGTCTGGGAAGAAATCCATTATTGGGCACATTTTGAACTGCATCCAATAGAGAATATTAGTCACTTACATGGTATAATTTTGAAATTAACTCATAGAATAAACATTAGTTTTCATTCCATTGATGCCTGACTTTTGTAGATGGTATCCCTTTTTACACTAGACAATTAATAGAGAGTAGTATGTAGATGAATTTTATCATGCTATCTATTTTGTTTAAAAAATATTTTAGGCTTTTAAATATTATTGACATTAGACTCTTTGTATGTTTCTGAATTTTTATTAAAAATTTTAAATGAGCCTCAGTAAGTGCCAATATCTGGTGCAGACTCAAATTTTATCATTGCCCAAGTATTTCAGAGTTGGAAAGACATAGCATCACGATACTGTTAAGACATCTAACTAACCCATCTTGTTTCTCAGTCAGGTGCAGCAATTCAGAGTTTATACGTGCACTGAGAAAGTTTACTCTGATATTGCCAAGGTCTAGATATATACAAGTGGATTAGCCAAGTGTATGAATCTCTTCAATGATTACTTGTATGTGCAAACAAAATGTTACTCTGCTCATGGTTTACCAAGTCAACATTTTCCTAGGGCCCTTCATGTGCCAATCACTAGCAATACTAAGCCAAATAAATGTCTACTCTCTAGGAGACGGCAGGCCACAGGTAAGAAGATGACACACAGTACAGAGGGAGGGAA